TCTCTCATTTCAACAGTGATCCCTATAACATATTTTCTACTACAAATCATATTTTTTTGATTGGTTTCTTATACAATCGTGTTACATCTTTCTTGCCGGTGGCCTGAACGGAAACGTCTCGTGCCTTTGAGCCACTCCCACGCCCATTACTTGGAGCCATCATGACCGTCTATCGGCATTAGCGTGTTGGATCAAGCTTGCGTGTGTACGAGTGGGTCCGACATCTGTTGGCAACATTTTTTGGGGTCAACAGACACGCCTAAACTTATGATTCTTAATTCTCGACCTCAACGCATCGCAACGCATTACACATTTTAGAACATTGAATGCAAGTGGTTCCTCTAGTAGTAGTTTGTCTACCGCGTGTAATCAAACATCGGATGTAAGTCTAAATGCATTGTCTGCTGAATTAATTGATTACTTTAATCATAATATACCTAATAACAAAACAATTAAGAGAAGTTCAGAAGAAGTAATTGAATTCTGGCGAAAGTACGAACGACACTGACCAGTGGTTTCTGCGATGGCAAAAGACCTACTAACACCTCCGCTTAGCATAGCTTCGGAATCTGCTTTTAGTACAGGTAAAAGAGCTCTGTCTGAGGTCAGGAGCTGACTGAAAGAAGATATTCTGGAAGCATTAATGTGCATGAAGGACTAGAAAGATTATCATTTTCGACTGCAAGATAAATATATTGAAATTGCATGTCGTCAAGTAAGTGATATTTAATTTAACCATATTAATCAAAATTTATTATTTTATAATATTTTTTTTATTTTTAAAAAAAATTGTACATGTAACAAGTTGTTCATGTACAATTTTTAACTCCGCTTGCTCGAAATTTACGTAGTTGGTCTAAAGCCCGGATAAAGGAAGAGTGTTTATCTTTTTTTTAAATAAAAAAGGTTTATCTTAAGAAAATAGAAAAATGGACGAGCTAGTGAGCCGAAGCTCGCCTGACCCACGAGCTCAAGGGCCGGGCCGGGCCGGGCCGAGCTCACACCTTAAGTAACGAGCCACGAGCTCGACTCGACCCATTGCTACTTCTAGATGAAGACCAACAAACTTACTGACAAGCGTTGGATGCAGAAAAAGGAAGGAAAATGGACGGTCCAAATTAAAGTACTCGAAACTACGTCGTTTTGAGGAAAGCTTGCCAAGGAAGCCCAAGGTGCTATTGTAATTACTGCCCTTCGAATCTAATGACACCTGTCATATTAAGCCACGCCTATGCTTCCAGCTATCTTATAAAAATTTTGGAAC